TGGGAGCCACCTGCGGTGGATGTGTTGTTCATTTTACGGATGACAACAAGTGAATCAGACAATTATACTACATACATGTAATATATATATATAAGAACAACAAAAAACTATAAACGGACATGTGTATATCTATATATATGATATTTGTGTATCATGGTTTGACCGAGTTTCAATCATGTACTGTTTCGCCAGAGAGCGCCAACCCTTTGCTCCTTATTTTTAAGCATTGCTTTTGCCCAGCTCTCTAGCTCTCTCTCTCTCTCACTCTTTCTCTATTTCTTTCTCTCTATCTTTTTTTGCGATCTCATCTTCTGGCAAGACGATCGACCGAGAGAGAGCCCAACATCGGCAGGACATGCTCGCCATGCTGTACTTTCTTTTGTGGGGCTTCAAACGAGCACGCCGCCTGAGTTGAGTTTTGTGCGTGTGTGATGCACTGGAGCACCGCACAGTTTGAATAGAGGGAGCCTGCCCTCGTGGAGTAGTTGACGAAGAGTTGATTGTTTGGAGACGAATTTGGAAAGAGATACTGTCTTACTGCTGCGTCCTCTGGCAATCCAGTTGTTTCGGTATGTCTCAAAAAATGAGAGTGTTCTAAAGCCATCCAACAAGGGTTGCTTATTTTGAGAGACAACAAGGGGCAGACCCATTTTGGAATTGAGTGCACGTAGTTTTTTTCTTGAGACCCAGAAACTTAAAGTTAGCTCTCAGACAAGCCCGGTTGATTCTGAAACTCTTGTTTCCGCTTAGCCCCTTCGTTGGATGGATTGAATGACCGTTGTAGTTTGTCTAGCTTCCCAATTCTGTTTTGTCTTTCGTGGTTGCTCACTATGGTGGCTGCCGTCCCACCCCTGTGTGACGGAGGAGACCAACATGGACCCTGATTGGAACCTGCTGGGAGACCGGTTTCCTCTAACATGTCCCTTCTGGTGGGTTCCGTCCGATGTAGGTGGGATGATATGTTTGCTGGGTGCAGTCGCGTTTGGGGGCAATCTACTGAGGCCTGGTTGATCTTTCCTTGAAATCTTTGGTGGTTTACGAATCCCATACGTTCCAAGTCTGGGTGCGGGCCAGCTGCGGCATTTAGTTCCATCAGGCTGGGCAACATATGGCGCCGACGGTGCCTCCTCCGGCACAAGCAGCGCCACAAGCGCCGCGGCAGGCACGTGTGCGCGCAAGGATTGGCAGGGCACTCCTGCAAATCAACGGAAGGAATCCACAAAGGAGGTCCCTCAACAGGGGGGTTCCCTCAAAAATGGCTGGTTTGGGGTGTTCTCGTAAGTTTGGCGGGGAGCACTCAGTATGTGCTTAGTAGTGTTGACGCCGGATTAAGAAACCGGGGTCCCTGGTTTTGGTGGGGATTTATCACTTGTGGAAGAAAAAACACCCCCATATTAATAAGCAGGGGTTTATTAATCCGGGGTCAACATCAACCTTGAAAGTAACACGCTGACACCTGCTATATGCCGCCTGTGTGGCTTATTGTAAACGCTGCGCGCTGCCCGCCTCAGCCAGGCTCAAAAGAGACAAGAGCAACGCGGCTTGAGCAAATGACTCCGGGACTGGGCTGGAAGCTGATAGGGAGCTGTGGGCCGGAAGCAAGGTTGGGCTACAAACGTTCATGCCGGGCTCAGCTGCGTGATGGCTGAGGGCTGGAAGTTGGACGGTTGGGGCTAGGGGACGGCCAGCGGCACGGGCGCTGCGCATTGGCGGAATGTAGCTTGGTTGAGCTTGCGGAAGGACATGAACTCAGGGCGGGTGAGAGCTGAGCTTGGGCTGGGGCTGAATCCGGCCAAGTTCACGAAGATGAGCCAGGCGTGAACATCGGTAATTAGTCAGCCAGCCAGTTTTATGCACGAAGCTGGCCTGTCTGGCCCAGTCAAAGAAGAATGCACAGAAGGCAGCCGCTCCTCTCGCCCCTGACCGCTTCCCGGCCCTGAGTGCAGTTCTCTGGCTCACCTGCGGGTTTTTGAGACAGCACGCTTTGCCAGCGTTCTGTTAACTATATAGATGCCGGGCGGTTTAGGCGAAATTTCGCACTCTTGCTGCCAGCTTAGATTGGTTCAGTGTTTCCTGGGGCAGCGTCTTCTTACCTAGGTCGTTTGAAGCCGACAGACAGGTGCCCGATTGCCAGAAAACATCCTCTGTTTTGTCAGCATCTTTGCGGGGACCTTGGGAAAAGAGTTTGCGTAGCGTCTGTCGCCGGTGCAGGTGTCGTGGATTAATCACGCCTCCTTTACCGCTGCGCCAGGCTGGGAGCGAATTGGGGTCATCTTCAACTTAATTAGACCCCACCAGTAAGCTGCATCTGTGGAAATCACTTGCCCTCGAGTTGAGGTGAGAGCACATGGGGCGTTCTTGTGAGATTTGCTTACGATTCTTTTCAGGAGCGTGGGGCACCGTTTGGTTTTCGCATAGGCTTTGCGCATAGCATGGCTGCCTTTGTCCGTTGAACTCGAGAGTTAGCATCGCCATGCGCTTTGTGACAACCACTCAGTATCTCAGGATCTGGTTACGGACTGCTTACATTGCCCGTGCTTTGTTTTTGATTGCGACCTATGCCCTTCGGAGGCATCATCCTAATGCCAAACAAGGTGTGTCAACAAAACTTGGGGAATGCTGCTTTTGATCTTGCTGGTTCGAAAAATAGACCCTGGCCCTGGCAAGTCTTGGGCAAATGAAATTTGCAATTGCAAGGGTGGGGCGCGTTTTGTTCAGAAAGGCAAGGGTACGTTCTTTCATAGTGGCTATAGTGGCCTGTTAACCCTTGGGGTGGGTTGTGGGTGGATATCTTGGAGTGAATATGTGTGTGTGTAGGTTTGCACTGTTGTGTCCAAGTGGTGTTGCGTGTGTTTGTTTGCGCGGGTATGGTTGATTTCGTTTGTGTGTATGCATGCATTGGTACCGCCGCCAGGAACCTGGTTTCCTGCATTTCTCATGTTCATTGACATTTATTGGGGTGCTCTTATCATGCGAGGGCTAAGCCGCACAAGTCATTATACACATGCCTACGCGCGTCCACGACCGCTGCACGCATGCTGGCACAAACGATGATACACATGCCCTTGCGCATCCGCAACCGCTGCACGCATGCTGGTAACAATGATAGCACACGCGCCAGCGCGCATCCACAACGACTCCACGCATGCTGGCACAAATGATAGCACACAAGCCCACGCGTGTCCACGACCGCTGCAACACACACGCCCACGCGCACCCACGACCGCTGCAAGCACGCTGGCGAAAATGATAACACACACGTCCACCCGCACCCACGACCGCTGCACGCATGCTGGCACGGATTATAACATACGCCCACGTGCGTCCACGACGACTGCACGCATGCTAGCACAAATGATAATACACACGCCCGCACGCGTCCACGACCGCTGCCCGCATGCTGGCACGGATCATAGTACACACGCCCACTCGCATCCACGACTGCCGCACGCATGCTGGCACAAGTGAGAACACGCAAGCCCACGCAAAGGCACGACCGCTGCACGCATGCTGGCAATACACACGCCCAAGCGCACCACAATCGCTGCACGCATGCTGGCACCTTTGACAATACATACGCCCACACTTGAACAGTTACTGAACACGATTTTCTCACAGCCCACACTTGAAACTGAACAGGATGTACACTTGAATATGAACAGGATGTTGTGAATGTTGTCACAACCCACACTTGAACTTTTACTGAACATGTGGGTTCTCACAACCCACACTTCAAACTGAGCAGAATGTTGTTGCAACCCACACTTGAACTTTCTCGGAGCACAATCTTCTCACAACCCACCCTTGAAACTGAAAAAGGATGTTGCCACAACCCACACTTGAACCTTTTCTGATTCATGTTGACCTTCTTACGCTCCGCAACACAAGCTTACCTAAACAAATTCAATCTATTTGAGTAGTTGTTGTTACCATGTGCTGATGTCCTTGGCCAGCGCAGTGAATTGTAAAAACAGGAAGCTTGATTCTTGCCAGGCCACTCGCGGCAGTGTGACCTGTTTGTTTGTGTGTTTATTGCTCTGGTTGCGCTTGCGTGTGTGTATTTGCCTGAGTTTGTATGTTTGAATGTGTTTATGATTGTGGGTGTGTTGTTTGGTTTGTTCTTGTTCGTTTGGGGCTTGTTTGTTTTGGTTGCTTGCTTGGTTGTTGTCAGTTTGTTTGTCCGTTTGTTTGTTTGTGTGTTGTCTCTTTGTCTGACTTTGAGTTTCTTTGGTTGTTTGATTGCTTGTCTGTTCGAGTTGAGCTCGCAGTTGCCTTTGATTGTGTGCTTTGTTCCTTGCGTGCAGTCTTTCTTGCTTTCTTTCTTGCTTGCTTGCTGCATTGCTTGCTTGCTTGTATGCTGGCTGGCTGGCTGGCTGGCTGGCTGGCTGACGTGTTTGTGTTTCAGTGGATATATATATATATATATGAGCGCACATATGTATATACATATTCAGGTAACTTGCGCTTTGCATGTGCGCGACTCGAAGAGATCGAGATGCAATCTCTGTGCATATTTGTTGTGCTCTCTTGGCCCAGGACGTCATCCAGAGAGCCACTAGCAAACATCAACATGTCGGGTTGCATGTATTGCCACGCATGATTAGTGGCATTTCGTGTTCAGCTTGTGAGTTCCCATTTTCAGCTCAAGTTTTAGTGCTGGATCTTTGCGCAAACTCCCACCGTGTCTAGTCCAGGCTACGCGCCGACGTAGGGCGCCCCAGTATTGGCAGATGTCCGAAGTGGCGAAACTCGCTTACCCGCCCATCACAAAAACAAAAACAAAAAACATCGAGGAGCCTATGTTGCAACGCGAGCTGTGCTTTTGCAGTAGCTGCACCGTTGATTCAAACAACAGCAATGGTTGTTGCATTGTGCACCTGCGTTGGGAACACAAGTTCCCTGAACACAGGCATCAAACAATACGGTCTGAATATCTTGAGCCTTTCGGGCACTACACAGAATATGTGAAGAGCTGGAAACGCAGCCAGACGTTATCTGATCGATAGTTCAAGCCCAACACATATTTTCAAAGACGCAGACTTCGACCATGGTTTGGAGATTAGTCGCATTGCGCGATGCCATCCTTGCAGGTTGCATCGATCAAGAATGTGCCTTGTGTTGTCGCACGCCGCAATGCCTTTGCTGATTGATATGGGAAGGAAAATACCAGATTTAGAAGGGAACATGGACCCGCATTGATTGTGTTTGGTTGTCAAGCGGCTCTCCTTGCACAGAGAAGGACACCATCCGCATCGCGAATGAGGGGTGGGCCTACCCTTAGAGGCCTGGGTCTATCAGTGGCTTTGGCACTTCCACACACGGCGAAAGGAAAAAAAACATGCAGCATGCGCTCGGCATGGTAGCCATTTGCACCCAGTCTAAGGGGAAATGACCAATTCCCATAGCACCCTTATCCAATGTGCCGAGGCGATGCGAACCAACCTCACCAGGGGCAGGGCGTGCAGGGCAAAACTTGAGGGTTCTGCTCTTGGGCGTGTGTGAATCAGCACGGATTCCTATTTGTTTTTGGGAATATGTTTTTATATATATATATATATTTGACTTATCACGGAATACTATTTTTTGGGGAACACATTTTAGTTTTTGGCTTGAACAAATGTGTGATGTTCCACCTGGTTTTCTAGGGGATCTCTGGTTTTCTTTGTCGCAAGTCTTGGCCCTGAGCGACTTTGGGTGCCTGCTTCTTTACTGAGGCATGTGCCAAAAAGCTACGGCACGGTGTGCTGCCGGCGCAACATATTCCAACCGGCGAAGAGGGGTCCTGCTTTTGTGGGCGGGGCGGAGATTCACCCAACTGTGCTCATAGAACGGCGCATCAACACGACGACGCAATCAATGCTACACAGAGCAAAACAAACAGCCAAATTTGCACGTGTCACGTGTTGCATTTCTGTTGTAGTGCGCGGTTTCCGCTGCGAGCTTCTTTGCTGGCGTTCAAGCGGGCGCCCGGGCTTTCGTGGGACATGGTGGCGGCCTTGTGTTGGAGCGCGGTCGACCAGACAGGAAGCTTCAGGGAGACTGCGACCAACCGTACGCAAGATGCCCTTCACTGTCCCTTGTGGTTCATCTTTCATGGAAGAGGTTTCTGTTCACCGACCTCAATTGAATAGTCAACCATCCGCCCGAAGCCAAACGGGGAAGCGACAAGGCCGTGCCCAACGTCATAGTCATTCGGTCTGTTGATCAAATGGATTGGAAAGAAGCTGATGGCTCGATGACTTTTACGAGGTTCCGCAACCTCCGTCGCATGTTTACCCCAACTCAGGTCGGACACTTAGGTCCAACTATGTGGTTCTTGTGGTTTGGAGACTCACTCAGATCGAATTTGCAGGCTTAAAGATCTGCGCTCGATGATTCTTTGGAGCTCCCCTTTTAATCAATGTTGCTGCTTGAGAATATATATTGTTGCATTTCACATGGTGACTTTGCTTGGTTTTTGGGCGGGGGAACCAAACATCCAGACACTTCGTCGGTTTGCGTCTCAGTGACAAAAAGGATGATTCAGGCGTGGCCTTGCAAAAGGATCTATTCCCACTCAACGGTGACATTCCAATCGCGCAACGCCATGTCTTCAAGGATGTCGGCAATTCGCAGTTGACGGCAGGTGCCATCCCCCAATACGGCAGCTTAAGCAGTGAATCCCAGTGAATGTATCTTCTTGACAGCAAAGATTGACGGCTGGGTGGGCATTTACAGCCTAAGGAAAGGACAGGACTGGCTGAATATCCCGCAACGAGGGGCGTGCCAATTTACTGCGGATTTGGATGCCTCAAATATTACGGCCGGGCACGTCACGTGGTGCTGAGGCGCTCATACCTCTCATACCTGTTGTTCCATGGCCCACCTTGAATGCTCACGGCCTGGGCGGCAGGCTCCGATACCTGATTGAGGGCTTAGGCATATTGGCAGGGCTGGACTTACTTTGGCCAAACATCGTCTGCTTGCCTGATGCTATATGGAGAAGTTATAACCGTTGCAGTTACGACGTACAATGTCCAGCAGCTTGGTAGCCCACGCTTTGTCCCATGACCTTTGGGAATGGTTGCCGTATTCGTTGCAGCCCCAGGGACCAAGGGGGTTGTGGCCATTCGCCACACTTTGGCTGGAGCATCTTTTGGACTGCCCCTCGCAACGGACACAATAAAGGCTTCAAAGCCTTCATCTACCATTTCCAGAAACAACGGGAACGGGTGTTGTAGATTTCATGGACAATGTCTTGGTGATGAAATCGTGTGTACAGCCCGGGTAGGTTCCCTCATAGATTTCGTCATGGGGTTGTCTCCAATTTTGGGGGCCCAAATTGTTGGCTTCCTTTTGGTTTCCCTTGAAAACCTAATTTCCTTCCAGAAAACAAACCCCGAACAGCTCGTGAGAGTTTTGCTTCAAGAGCCAACGGGCCAAAGAAACCGGAAAACCCCACCGAAAGCGTTTGCGGACTGTTTTCGTGCCAGGCCTGCTTCCGGTTCCGCTGCGGCCCCCCCGGGCGCCAGCCGGTGCCAGGCGTGCCATGCAACCATGGCTGGATGGCAAACCATGGGAGTACCAGACTTTTGCAACGGGTTCTACAAAGTATCATCTGTTTGGGTCAGAAGTTGACAGAGCTCCCTTTAGGAGTTTAGGATGCCAAGTTAGTCACCACTGTGCTTATTGAGCGCCCGTGCTAACCAGGCGTCGACTGATGCTAAACCATGCCGAACCACCCAGCTTCATGGCAAACCGCCTTAAGCGTGTTCGCCTTGATGAGATCTGTTAGCTGATTGCTTCACGCGCTCAGCGCTATAGCAAGCAGTCAGTATAGGAGGGCCCCGGACTTTGCTGTTGTCTAAGGGAATCGCTGAGGAAGACATTTGGGGACCTGGGAACAAAGCGTGTTTTCGCTGGCTCGCAGGTCCGTGTGCCATGTCACTCGCGGATGAGTGCTGGATCCAATCAGCCTGGCGCCCAGCCTCAAGCAAACCCGAATTCTGAAGGAGGGTTTTGCTCTACCTGGGGTTGAAGGCGCAACTGATATGTTCTTTCCATTTCCCTTCCCATGTGTTCAAAGGCGCACTGGAGATACAGCTGAGTGCGGCTGGGGAGGGGAAGTCACGGCGTTTTCTACCCGAAGTTAGGCATTACGAAGTCATCTCAGGCAAGTTGCTGATGAAGCGTTGGCTGGTTTTACTCGTGGCGGGGTTGTCTTGCTTGTTTCCTTCTTAGGATTATTTCACCCCTTGATATGTTCGGCATGTTTCTGAGAAGCGTTTGCAAGTCAGGGCTTACATAAACAAACAATCGCCATGCGCATCATGTAACTCCACTCATGTGTTGAGATGGCAATCGGTTTCTCGTAGTTTCGTTTCTGTAGTTACCTGCTGAGCAGTTTGGGCACTAACTACAATGAGCTTGGCCAGTAAAGCACTCTTTCCGACGGAGTCAAGAGGTAACGTCAGGTTTAATCGACCTTTGTAGGGATTGTGGAGCCACTTCATCCTGACTTCAAAAACAGGCCAGAGCAAAGAATGGCAACTTCGTCCCTATCGGGAGAGAGCAGCTGACTATATGGCTATTGCTTTACCCGGGAAGGATATATCTATATGTATGTATATATATATGTATTTATACTTGTTGTGCAAAACACGAATTAGCGTTTGTGACTTGCATGGTGGCGTTGCGTGTAGAGACTTGTTCCTGTCTTGTGGTTGGCTTGCAAGGCCAACATTGTACGCACGAACACCAAACACAAAGACCAGCGCCTGCCAGCACATACACAAACACAAACCCCAACGCCAACACATGCAAACGCAAACGCAACTACGAAGGCACCACAAACACACACACACACAAAGAAGCAGACAAACAAACACACAAACAAGCACACACAAACACAAACACACACACACACACACAAAAACACAAACACAGACACAGACACAGACACAGAAACAGACAGAGACACAGACACACACGCAGACGCAGAGGCGGACGCAGACGCAGACGCAGACACGCAGACAAAGACACACAGTCACGGTCACACACACACACACAGACACACAGACACAACCACACAGCCACACACACACACAGAGACAAACACACACGCAGACACACGCACACACATACACACACAGACCCGCCCACACACACACACACCCAGACACACGCACAAACACACACACAGCCACGCTCACATGCGTCATGCACATACACACACACACAAGCCCAAAGGCACACAGACAGACACACGCCCACGCACACACACACACACACACCCAGACACACGCACAAACACACACAGCCACGCTCACATGCGTCATGCACATACACACACACAAGCCCAAAGGCACACAGACAGACACACGCCCACGCACACACACACACACACACACCCACCCACCCACCCACCCACCCACCCACCCACCCACCCACCCACGCACGCACGCACGCACGCACGCACGCACGCACGCACGCACGCACGCACGCATGCACACCCGAACGCACCCACACACACACACACACCCACCCACGCACGCACGCACGCACGCACCCACCCACCCACCCACCCGCCCACCCACGCACGCACGCACGCACGCACGCACGCTTGCACGCACACACGCACACACGCACACACACACACACACGGACACCCACACACACACACACATATCTACTTACCTGCCTGCCTACCTACCTACCTACCTGCCCACGCACGCACGCACGCACGCACGCGCAGACACAACCTCCCGCACACCCACACACACACACAAAGATACACACGCAGACACACACACACACACACTCGCGGGCGAGGCCGCGCGATTTTACATATCAAACAGTCGATTGTTTCCGAATTATGCTATTACCTTGGGGTGTCATTCTTCCACTCGTCCATGTTTCACGGACTAGCCATCGCTTGCTGAAGCGCTGCAGGGCTTCGCCCGTCCTCGCCTCTCCGCGACGGCCAGGCAGGAAGGTCTCGCCCAGGTGCAGTTCAAGAGACGCTAAATCGGCCATGTTTGTTTGAATCTGCCCAAATGGAAACCAAGTGGGATCGGTATTTTTCCAGACCCCTGCGGAACACCCTAAAAAGAAAAATACATCAGGAAGGGATGTGGACCAAAGTGTTTCTAGACGACTTATTGACCGCCTCGTGTGAGAAGCCAATTAAAGTCTAGTTTTCAAGCTTGTTCGGTCTGGCCAGCTTGCTGCATGACATGGCCGAGGGCGCATAAGCCAGGCCAGAAATTGGCGATGGCGCCCCCCAGATGGGTTTCAGCGACTAGATACTTACTCAGCAAAGAGGATGTTGCCAGCTTGCCGAGCACCGCCAGCCAATGGTGTTTGATTCGCATTGATCGGTAACAAAACAGCCTCCGGCTCAGTCCGCCGACATTGTCCTCTCCCTCTTCTCCTTCTTCCTCTCTCCCTTCCCCGCGTGTTCTGTCGTCCTCTCTCCCTCCCTTTGCTCCCCATCCTCCCCATCCCCCCAAGCCTCTCTCTCCTCAATCTCCCTGTCTCTGTCTCTCTCTATCTCTCTATCTCTCGCTCTCTCTCTCTCTCCCTCTCCGTGTCTCTGTCTCTTTCTGTCTCCCTGTCTCCTTCCTGTCCACGCCCCTCTACAGAAAAAGGGCCCCCTTATTCTAACCCCTGTACTGGAGAACCTAGTCTCTCTCGCTCTTTCTCTCTGTCTCTCTCTCTCTCTCTTTCTTTCTTTCTGCGTCTCTCTCTCTCTCTCTCTCTCTCTCTCTCTCTCTCTCTCTGTGCGTCTCTGTCTCTCTCTCTCTCTCTCTCTTTGTCTGTCTCTTTCTCTGTCTCTTTCTCTGACTCTGGCTCTGTCTCTGTCTCTCTCTCTCCCTCTTTCTCGCTCTCTGTGTCTCTCTCTCTCTCTGTCTCTCTCTCTCTCTCTCTCTCTCTCTCGCTGTCTCTCTCTCTCTCTGCATTGCAGCGTCACGTCCCCCTGAGTTGCCTCGATGTCTGGGCACTGCCCCGAACTGTCATCTCACTACTGGCGTTCCCCTTGATTTCCCCTTCATGTCCTTTTCACGTTTGCCAGGATGTCCTGGTCATGTCCTTCCATTCCTTTCAACTCCCCCTTCACGTCTCTGTCATTTTCTTCATTTTCTCGGTATGTCCGCTTCATTTTCCACGCATGTCCGGCTCTTTCGTTGCGAGTCACTCCCCTTGTTTTCATTTCTGTCCCTTTCATGTCCCTTTCAGTTCCCAATTTGTTTCCCTTTCATTTCCCGTTGCTTTCCTGTCATGTCGACTTCCTATTTCTTCCCCTCACTTCCTTGCACTTCCTTGCATTTCCCTTGTGCTCCCAGCATTTCCCGCAAAAAAACACGGTCTTTCCAGCGTTTTCGCAAAAGAGGGCGTCCAAAAACACAGAGTTTTTTCCAGATGTTCGGCAAAAGGAGAAAGAGCCGGCAGGGGGATTCGAGCCTGGGACCTGTTTGGCGACACCGGCTCCCCGAAGATTAACTTTTAGCGGAACATCATCAAATTACCACACGGTACGTGGGGGACCCCCCCCCCTGGTACCAAACGTATCAGACGTCGGGCGGGGGGGGGGCAGGGGGGGGTCCTCTATCCCCTCTTAGGTGTCCGACACGCCGAGACATGTCGGCGGATTATGATGTCGTGTTTTAGCAACTTTGACAGAGCCTAACAGATACACCCAACATGGCGAAAATGTCAATGGCGGTATGTTGATTATCGGTCAGGTCTGCCACGAATGAGCCACACTATGTTCCACAAAGTTTCTTTTACCCTACACTCAGGTTCTTTGGCGACAGCATGCATGCTGGGGTCATGACAAGGGCGAACAGCACTAAGATGACTGTTTTTGCAGTATTTGCAATTTGCAATTGTGGTCCTACTCATGCTCATTTTTGAAGGGTGGCCCGCTCCTTTGTTTCTGTTTGGTCCACAAACTTGGTTCACCACAAAACCTGGGAAGCAAAAGGTTTCCATTTTCCTACGCAGAACATGGCCAGCTCTATAGGGCCGATCGTTCGCACGGCAGGTTCCCCGTGCAAATCGCCCGAGGCTTGCTGATCGAGAGTCGGGTTTCTGATTCGAGAGTAACGATTGTGCCTTGAGGGGGCAGCCCGTGGCTAACGACTTCGTTCCGTGCCCAAAGGTTACTTCAGGGCCGCTGCGCACACAGAAGTGGAGGGGCACATATCGGTTCGCAAACTTGTGCTGTAATTTTAGTGCCAGCATTTCGGTGGCAGACGGTCACTAGTTTAGCATGACCTGTTCCGTTTGTGCTTGACCTGGACAATTCACATGCAGTATCCAAAGGTGGAGCACTTCACCGGTCAGGAGAACACTGGCAAAGGGCACTGGCACCCTTTGTGTATTGAGAAGAGCAACCAAGACATGGTGGTGTTGAGAAGAAGCAACGCAGGGCATCTTAGATGCTTTTGAAGCGGATGCGTCACTTTATGCATGATTGCCAGTACTAGTGTGACTGTACGTTGGCCAGGTGTGAATGGTGTAAGATGCTATAGAAAGGCTTTTGTTGGGCTCCTTATTCATCATTGAGCAAAGGATTTGCACGACACGACATGGCACCTGTATGATGGCAACCAACCTCCATGGCTATGACGGTGTGCTTTCTGGAAACCTGCCACTTGTATCGTGTGCCGACGATACAGGCGTCCCGCAGTCGTATGGCGTCCCCTGGCAGCTATGCATCTTGGGGACATGAATTGTGCGTTTGTCAAGACGCGAACCGGGCTGTCAAACACGAATCACTTCCAGTCAAGCTTGCGCCTTCGGAGCATATTGAAACAACCCCAAAAACATATCATTGACTGAACATCGCGAACAAGCGTGGGCTTCTGCAAGGGAGCAGAGATTGGAGAGTGTCGGTTTGCGTTCTCGAAATCTCCATCAAGGTCGGTTGATGGTTTTTACACACCCTTCTGCTGCCAACTATGCCTGTAACCGATTTCTTTGATTCTTCGCGTTCCTCTATTTGGTAGTTCCAAAGCAAAGCCTGCTGGGCCAGTGTTCAATGCATTTCCTGTGGGTCAGGAGATGATTAACTGGTCGGAATCAAGAAACACTATGTCAAATCAAGGGATGCTTTTGCCCGAACTGTTCTTTGGGAAGCATAGCGACTCAGTAGGGGTTTGCACCGGGTCCCATGAAGGCTCCAGAGATCGGTCAGGCGACTCTTGGTTTGCCCAGATATTTCTTCCCTAGAGTCGCTTCACCAACAGGACCCTCGAATTGGTAGCCTCCACGGTGGTGGGAGAGTATGCTATCCTCCATGCCGCATGCCTCAACCATCGCTCGCGGTGCGCACCATGCGAGACTTCTCGCGAGGCATCCTTGAAGACGTCTCGCATGCGATACTCTTCTGCAGGCAGTCCGCCCGGGGCATCAAGAGGGCAACGTCTTGGTCCAATCCAAAGGCCAAAAGATGAGAAAGTGGGCGACTTGATTCTGTTTCATAGTTTGCTTTTCCAGTCCTTGTGCTGTCGCAGCCAGAGCAAACATGGATTCTTCAGAACGGCACGTGACCTGGGACCAGCTGTTGGGCTTTGATTGCCCCGGTTGCGTATGTGTTCGCCAGGTGTTGTTTCGTTCTGAAAAGGCAGACTAATCTAGGCGCACTACTCATACCCGTGAACGTGTTCAAGAGTCAGAAGGGTCTGCGCAGATATCACAGGTAAGATGCAAGATCATCACCAGCAGCAGATCCAATTGCAATAGAGTATGTTTGTTCAACTTCCAGACTTTTACCAGCAAAAATCCTATCCGAGGTAAGAGCAAAGTTTGGACGGTGTTTGGCCACTCGACTGATCTGCTTGTCCTGAGATAAGTTGCTTTTGTGCAGCAGCTTTTACGCTTTGTGCATTTCGTTACCGGTCAAAGGGATCCGAGCCTTCTTTGGTTTTTCCTGGTGGCTCCGTATCAACTAAGCACCAAAAAGGTGCACCCTTTGTTGCCTCACGGTTGTCTCTATGGTTGAGGTACGTTAAAGCGTTTGCACAGGGAAGTTCTGCCCCTCGCCTTGCAGAAGTCAACTTTGCCAAGACGAGCTGATGCATCATGATGCATCACTCCTTCCATGCTTTTCCCTAAAACATGTCTTTGTTTCCCCTGTTGGGTTCAACCGAAGTCTACACTGCTGGAGTTTATTCCTTTTTCCAGTGGACTTATACAAAGCACGTGGAGCGGGGGTGCCAATTCAGCAAAGTGTGATTCCCAAGGAGGACCCCCAAAGCTGGCAAGGTCTCCCTCACACCCCCCAGCGTTCCTAGGGCCGCACCCCAACTCGGACTTGCCTGAATAGGGCGGCAAGGCGATTGATGAGGGACGCTCAAGTTTTTTGGGCCCTTCAACCTGGAGCGACAACTCAAGGAACTCCAAAAAAAAGCAAAAACAAAAATGGTTGTTGGTTTTAACGCTCGGGCTTGCTCCGGTCTTTTTGTGCGGAGCACATCGGATCGGCTGGCGAGCGCCGATGTTTTTGACCGCCTGAAGCGAGCCCAAAAGCCAGGAAGCACGCAACACATACTGGATGAAACCTGACAAGACTCCATTCGGTGCTAGCCTATTTTGGGATTTGATGGGGTTTTGCAGGTCGTACCTATGAGAAGGACAGACCCAATGTGGCGGCGTGACACTCAGTTGAGCAGCGCCCAAACGCAGATTTGCCTGCTAGTACAGGGAAACTGAACCTTTATCGTAATGTGCAGACTCTTTTCGTAGAAGCAGCAGTGAAATGGGTATTGGGCGTTGTTCAATTCCCGCCTTCGATCTTGAGTGGAGAGCCATGCGGCACACTGAAAAAATGAGGATTTGAGCTTGATATTGCCTGCTGCCCTGACTTGTACCCAGTGCTTAAACATGGTTGCAATTGTACCCAAAAGCTATACATAGCACGTGATGACCATGGCTAGTAGCTTGTTGTTCTTGGGTAGCATATTCAGTTATTCGACTGGCATCCGTTGTTCGCAGCTTCAATGGTGCGCAAAAGGGAACTGTTTTTCGGCTCCCTGTCCCTTTGATCTCCTTGCCTTGACGGAACTGGCAGAAAATCTCACCTGGAGCTTGCCTAAGAGGTCTGCGGCGGTTTTATCAGGAAGCGCATGCTCTGTTACACTGTGCCAGCTGTTTGCTTTCCGGCTTGCCCAGAAGCAGAGATCAATGCCGACATCGGGCTCCGGACTCTGACCCGGCGTAACATTCATTCCATTGGCTGAAGGGTTCGACACTTATGGGACCGGGGCCAGGTGTCGGCGCAAGTAAGGAAGGCCTTTATTTGCAGAAGTTCATGATCATTTTGCAACCTTCGCTCAATCACAAGTCGCATCCAAAGGGAGCCCAGCCTCCACAGCGGGTTGCCATTTGTCCCATGTCTAAACCAGTGGAGGCAATCTGGCGCTTTTCTTCAAACCTGCAGATTTTTGCTGAGGTTCTTACGACAGAGGCAGTCTGCAGCCCGCCTGGGGCCCAGGTGCAGGAGTGCCCGGCAGCTTTGCCAGCCCTGGGAAGGCATGCCCTATTGGTAGCTTCGCGTTTCAGGGAAAAAATGGAGATCCGAATTGTTGCTTATGAGGAAACGCGCTTGTAAGTGACAGGGCAACCAGCAGAACAGGTGTGAGATCATTGATTGACTGACTTCTCAAAGCAGGGCAACTGAGTTTTGGCGTCTCATGTTGCAGCAATTGCTAGAAACCCTTGTTGCAAGGCTTTGGCAGGGGTTAGCTGGGGGGGGTACCCACTTAGTGATTCCTCCGGACAATGTCAGGGTGATAAATCGCTTCGTTTCTCTTGGTTCAAAGCATGTTGCAGGCCTGTTCGCGCCCATTGATTCCCAGTCACAGTTCTCCAGAACTTGATGCAGTCAGATATCAGATTTGTGTTTTCTTTCTCCAAAATGGGGATCCTCTTTTAAGATGGTTTTGAAGGGAAACAAGCCAACAAGAAGCAAACCACCAGGTCCCTAACTCAGAGAAAGCACTGTGCCGTTGTTTGTCTTCTGCAAATCAAGTCACACAGGCTGCTGTGACGCGCACACGCACACACAGGCACAACAAAAAAGACGATGGAGCAACGATGCAGCACCAGATGTCACTTTTTGAAGATATCGTTGCGAGGTGGTGGGTTCCACAGTTTCACCCTCCACCCTCCTTTTCCTTTTGCTCAAAGTTGCGCGAAAAGAGGGCCTCAGAACAACTCGTCTTGTGCCCATGGGCACAAGGGAGCCCAAGGTGAACTCCAATCGGCAACCCCCCCAAAAAGTTTCTCGGTTTGTGTAAGCTCTCTTTGAGCCATTAGTGCAAAGCGCAAAGTCTGAGAAGCCCAGTAAACCCCAAACCCACTTGGCCCAAGTCAACAAAACATTGATAGACCGACTCGTTGAAGGATAGTAATTAGGTAAAGGGGTCCATCATACAGAAAGCAATGGCGCCACCCTGGTTTTCGTTTTCCGGGCCATCCGCTGCAGCATCGATTGATTGGGGGCGCAGGGGTCTTTCGCTTGCAGTGTTTATACTTGCTTGTGTTCTGTTTGACTCTGTCTACCGAGCTTCAAAGCGACACACCAAAGAAAGCCGCACTGGTTGTTGGCTCCCCTGTTTCGGCCAATCCAAGCTGTTGATCCCCAATTTGTTGGGTACCCTAGCTTTGGAAAAAGATGAGCCCCCTGGTTTGACACATACCAACATGTGTTTCTTGGAACGTTCCCCAGGTCTCCTTCTGCCACACGGCCAGCGCCCAAAGGCGACGCGAGAAAGTTCACTCGGTGCTTGATGAAATCCTCGTGACCCGAGGGAAATGGGTGTGGCTCGAAAGTTAAACGGGAGGGGCAAACCGCAGGTTTTGGTACCCATGTTTCCACTTACCGATCGGGCAACCCATTTTGGAATTATTCCGGTTTTTGGAATCGCCACAGCCAAATGATGGAATCCCGGGGAAGCCCCACCTCTAGGACCCAACAGTAACTCGTTTTGTGAGACCGCCGAACGTGAAGGCTTCCACCAAGACGAGCTGCGCTCCCCTTTCAATCAAGCCAGTTTTTTTTTTAGATAGCCGTGAATCTGGGTTCAAACTTGATGCACGCCATCCACACCCGGACTTTGAATCATTAAGCTTGGCTTCAGAGAATCAAGCAGCTCCTTTTGGTAGTCGGCCGTCTCGAAGTTGAGTGGTGCCTGTGCCACAGGCAGGCACATGTGCAACAAGTATTGTCCTTTCATCCATGAATATATGAGTGTTTGTTTCTGAGGTACTTGTTGTTTTGTTGCTGTCAGCCAGCATGCATTACTTCGCCCCCAAGCCTCTGCCGTGAGGGGAATGTTGTGAGGAGTGCGCCATGCTTGCGAAGGAAGGTGCCTTCCTTTGGGACACATCGGGTGGCTTATGGGCAGTGCAAGAGGTGAAGGCCTTGCAAAAATATTAGGCCCTACTAAGGCCTATAGTAAAGCCTAAGTAAGGCCTTAGTCAGGCGTAGTATCTCAAAACTACTGGAAAAGGACCATGTGCGCATGTAGGGTTCAAGTCGGGTTGATGCGACTTGAGCCAAACTGAGCATAGATGTCCCATAGTTGGTGGACAAGACTGGAGGCAAGGCAACCATGTTTCAGCTACTATCAAAAACTTGCTACGCACTAAGCTAGGCCCTCAGGCCTGAGGAAGGCCATCTTAGCTCTATGAAAAATGCGCTCGACCGCTTCTTGCCGGCCAGCCCGTGGTGCGTATCGCAGCAGCTCAAGCAGCTCTAGCCTGGAAGGCTCCCCCAGGCCAGGGGGGAGGTGGAAGGGATGGTAAGAGTGATGGGTTCTGACTAACGGCCCTTAACATTTAAGGAACAGCGAAAGCTTGTGGGAGATCTGGCGAAGCCCCGTGGTGAATATGAAGTATCGTGTTGACAAATGTGGTGAAACCTTGTGGTGCTGTGGTATTCCTAAGATTACAAATTCACAGAAGTAACTTTAAGGTTCTTAACCGCAGGCGCGTCTGACCAGCGGACTTTTACGTTGGTCCTCTTTGATTCTATGTGCTGGCTCTGACCACGGAAGATTCTGACTAACGGCAAAATTTATGTTGGTTCTGACAAACGGGCATTGCTTTTGTTGGGCGAACGGCATTCTTTTGGGTTCAGACAATTGATGAGTGCCTATATTGTGTTGGTCCTCTTGTGGTTCTTATCAACGGCGTCCAAACAGTGGAAATTCATCAGTGCGTTCCTCTTTTGGGTTCTGACATCCGATGTCCGAACAAATTAGCCTTTTCCTCGCTTTTGTTTGTTTTGGGGCTAGGGGGGTTCTTACAGGGTAGCTCGGAAGATGGACGGGGTCGTTATTCGCTGAGCCAGCCTTCACAGTTGCCAATATGACTGAATCCTTTGGAGAGGTGTCCCACAAACTTTTCGCTGGGTCTTGAACAGTTTTCTTTTTTTTACTTGCCCACTGGTTTAGCTGTTTGCCAGGACAATGGCTATTTGGCCGTTCGGTGCAAGCGCAGCTTCCTGTTTCGGGGCCAGATTGCATTTGTCTCCGGAGTTGCTTGAGGTTCTCACAATGACCAGTTCCGATGGCTTTATGTGGCGGCGATGAGTTTTTTCTGTAAACCAATTGCTACAAAACCGGATGGCTTTCGGTTTGGATTTCGCACATGTCCCATTGCATTAGGATCGTCAAGGTGAACCGTGACATTGACAGCGGGCTTCAGGTGCAGTCAATTTGGCTGCTGGGGTTCCAGGGGTCAATCCAGAGACATGTTTTGAGACAGTAACAAGGCCTTCTATGAAGATGACCGCGAGCAGACGTTGACACTTTGTTTAGATCACAGTCCAGAGTTTCAGCTGCCGCTTCCCGTTATTGCCACTTGGCCTCCATGTTTCGTTCTTCATCACTTAGGCGTTTCCTGGAATTAGGGACCCTCACACGTCTTGACCGTCGTGGCTTCCCTACTTCCGTGGATCTTCTTTCAACTGCCACAAAAACCAGGGGAAACGGCTATTCGAAATAACTCGGAACATGGACCCACAGGAAGGGCTGAAGCGCACATGTCAGCACTTGTATTTTCGGGGCCACCAAATCTACTGGGTCCTGACTGACTTGGGAGGATCTTGGGACCGTCGGTTTCCGAATGTGAAGACTTAAGACAGTGCCAGAGCATCATCTCTGCGGCAAAGTACAAGACAAGTCCTCTCAAATCACCATGCTGTTTTCCAGTGTTCGCACCCCATCTCACCAATCCAGGGGATGTAAGACCACCACCCCACGGCGAGTCGCCAGGCGCACGAGGGGTGCATTCGAGCGCGCCTTGAGCGCCAGGGGAGCCCAGCTAGGTCGGATTGCTGGTGTCTTTGAACCCCAAGCCCAAAGATGGCAGACAGTTGGAAAAGACAAAAACCCTTCAGATATTTGCGGTATGCTAATTTACGCGTCATCGGGGCGACTTTTGAAGCGAGGTTCCTGGGTGATGGGAACCAGGTGGCTTGCTTGGGGTTGGTGCTTCGACCGGGGTTGCCCTTTGATGCTGAACAAAGCCCAGGTCGCAGCAGTTGGGATTGGGGGTTCATCTCTGATTTCATAGAGTTTCATCCATTCCAACGTGTTCCTGGCGCAACTCGCGGGCGCGAGGTGCAGTTGTCGCCAAACTTAGCCCCTCAGTTTTCCAACGACAATGGGACCTTTACCCGTCATGATTCCATATGGTTGATCAGAGTTGAAAAGTACAGGTCCTTGCCAAGAGAGAATAACCGCACCTTCAAACACGTGCTAGAATCTCAATAGTGCAAAGGAACTACTTTCTTCTAGTAATTATCATTACTATTACGTTTTTGTCCACGTTGTCCATGGCAAACTCACTGGTATTCCAACAGCCACAGAACCGGGCAGGAGGCCTTTGTGTAGACGAGAGCGTCCGAATGCCGCGGCGTATGTCAGCTTCCGCTTATTGAAAGCATCCTCATTCGAAAATCCTCAGGTCCTCAGGTGTGGGTTTGCGCCATATTGCTGAGGGTACCCTTCTGTGGGTGGTTTTACAGGGGGGGGCAAATGGGAAACGATCCATTTTGGAATCCCCCCCGTTTGGAGGCACCCAACACAGATCACAGCGACTAGCAAGATGATGCGCCTATGCTCTACTTCGCAGAGGGAGGAGCCATATTGAAACCTTCCTTCCCATGAACATGGCCCTTTTGAGCCGGTGCCAAGCGCAAAACCACACATTTTAAAATTGCCATGTGCGTGAAAACCAAAAAGGGAAGGGTCGTTTCCAGATTTGTTCTGACCCACCCGCCCCGGCTGACACCCGGCCTATTTGGAGAGGTCCCGGCTGAATTTGGCCCAGGCCGGCGTGCGCATGGGCGAGGCGCCAGCTCTCTCTCGTGGGGCGACCGTGCGGCGCCTAAGGGAAGTGGATTGGGGAGAGCCAAGAAGACTCACTTCCTTTCCTGGACTTCGTCATTTTAGCGGTCAGACAAAGTTTAAGGACTTTTCTGACCAATCCACTCAGGAAGTGAGAAGATGGCCAGTCTGTTTTTGTTGGAGCCTGGTGCCCAAGGTGCCCACACGCTGAGGGGCAATAGTGGCATAGCGCATGTTCGCGTTGGCAACATGCACGTGGCACTCACCAGGCCAAATGCTTGGCAGGTTTCACAACCTGACTTGTCACGCACCCACGAGCAGGCAGACTGAGGCCAGCCAGCAGATGCTCTATGCATGAGGAGCAGCGCTGGCAAAACCATTTTCGCAATGGGTCTGACTAGCTTGAAAGCCGTTCAGGCCTCTATCCTTTGACAGTTTGTTTTGCCTGCGAAGTTACAAATTCGGGTCTCTGGGCTTACCACAATGGTATGCTCCTTGTTGTATATTCGTTCTTGCACAGCTGACAAGGGGGTGGATTCAGATGAGCTAGGCATTCCCAAGGCCAACTAGCCCGCAGAGTGCGTGAAATTCCCTAGCCCTTCTTCTTCACCGCCCAGCCAGCCTTGGTGCCTCCATCTTTTCGTTTTTTCCGGCAGCGAGTTGCCAGTCGAGCCGCTCGAGGCCAGCTCCTCATCTGCGCTTCTGGCGGAGGCGGCAGCTTGGCTGAAGGGAGAAGAAGGGGTGTCCATCCGATCTCTCGCTCAAAAACGTGTGTTGCTATGTGGTTTCGTTTCTTGGCATCTCACGGTACCAGCTAGTGGCAATTACTTGGTCCCAGGGAGATAGTGGCCTTAAGTGTGAAAAATAATGCGCTTGGAGTCCAATCCAGCCAATCGGGGTCATGCTGTTTTCGCCTGAAAATCCCCAAACTCCACCCAAACAGGCTTGGATTTGGCTGACACGGGGGTCCCCAACTTTGGGACACCCCCTGCTTGTTGAATGTGTGGAAGTTGATGCCATTTCGGGCACTTTTTGAAGACACGTGTTTTTTTTTGGAGACGCCAACGAGTTCGCCCGGTTGCCGTTTTGTGTCCTCTTCAAATATCCCCAAAAGGGTACCGCTGTACGACAATTCACACGGTCGATATTGAACCTTGCCCCTGCAATCTCCCAAGGTACAAGTTAAACAATCCCTGACCTCCACCAGTGCCCTTGTTCACTCCTTGTTTACGTGTTTTTTTTTTTCGGGTGGTTTCCTGAAGCCAAACCAAGAAGACGCCCTTTTTGGGAGGTTTTTGGTCTGAGGCCAATGGCATCCTGCGGCGCAGCTCTGCAGGGCCGGGGCCCGCAGGCGCGGCGCGAGTGGATTCGGGGACTTAAAAGGGGCAGGGTACTTCGTACCCCGGTTTTCTTTCACAAAAACACCATGCCCTTAGGGGTCTGATTCCTGAAAACTACTCAAAACTACTCAAAACAGACGCACCCAAACATGAACAAAAGAACTATGCGCCCCACTATGCAGCTTCCCCTGAATTGGTGGTTTGGAGCCCGGTGGTGGTTAGGGTAGTTTCCCATTCTCTACAAGAAACAGGGGTTCAAATCCCAAACCACCAATCCAGGAGGTAGCCTGACCAGCTTTTCCTTGGATTGGTGGCTTGGATTGGTGGTTTGGAACGTGAACCCCAGTTCCTTTGAACCTGCAACAAAATGGGGAATGTAGCCCCGAACGTCCACCAAACCAAACCACCAAGGGGGAAAACCTTTGGAGGCAAGCTGAGTTGGGGGGTGGTGTTTGCATCTGAAAGATGAAGGAAAGGAGCACACTGAGGTTAGGGAAGCTCAGTCAAGACGAAACGTGGATGGGTGGGCACTCATGTGATTTCTTCTGCTGGAAGCCAAGTCCTTTGATCTGGTTGTTCTCTTAAAAGTGTGAAAAACGAGCAAGCAAGCTACAAAGCAAGCAAGCTCACAAGCCACCAAGGTAGCAAGGTGGCAAACAATCCGCCAGGAACAGAGCCGACAGGATCATCCCGGTTAGTCGCAACATGTTGATTGAACAAGAAGAAAGGGGACCGGCAAACAGGTGACGTGGTGTTTGGTGTTTGCTTCCATTGGATTCGCGCGGCTACGACGGAAAGTGCTTCTGGAAAAAGGGCTCATGGCGTCCTTTTTAAAATGTCCAAAGATGTAAGGAAGCGTCCAGAGGGTCTTTGAGAGGCTGATGTGGTGGGCTGCTCTTGTCACCTCCCGGCCATTGGGTTTTTGGCAAGCCACAAGAACCATGCCAGAGGGTTGAGGGGGCCCGGTTGGGGCTCCGTCAGGTCTTTGTTTGCATCAGGGAGTGGAGAGGAGAAGGGCTGACAGATAGTTTTCACTCCACCAGGTTGCGGCAAGGAGCATTTGTGATCTGCCAATCTTGTGGAAATTGTTGGCGAGATGTGTGTAGTTGTTTTGGCTCACGGCGTGATTAGCGACCGTGAGCTCCCAAGCCACTTTTGGGGGTTGGGTGGAGTGGGGGGTGGAAGTGGGGTGATTTCGATCATGTTGGCAATGTAGACACACACCGCACGCCGGCCGCTGACTGTGGCGCTTGGGCATCATGCCCGCAGGTCTGTTGTGTGTGCCGGTTGCCTTGTCAGACCAAGCCACTAGAACCAAACTGTTATCATGTCAACTTGCATTGGGTCTTGTCGATAAGCATGCTCAAGCCACCAGAACCTAACTGTTAACGACGAACAAAAAGAAGCTCAGAGGGCGTGCTGCGCGGGGAGTGTGCGGCAGTACTTGTACTGTGCTCTTTTGGGAAAGTGAACATATGCTGCAAAGTATAGCATGTGAGGCAATGCCGAAATTTGCCGGGTAATTACCATAGGTTTGGCTTTGACCGATGCAATGATGGTGTTGCGGGAATCCACGGTCGCTAACGGCGCCGTGACCTTGTCTCTCCCTTAGCATGGTACAGTTGGTGCTCCTGTGACGCACGCACGAATACGTTTCAGGAATAGCTTTGTACTAAGTTCGAGTTGCCGTATTGAATTGCCCTCGGGTTTCAAAGTATTGTACACCCTCTTCTTGCAAACGAATCACTCATTGTTCTCTGGATTTGACATTAGCAATTGTGTTGCCCTCTTGTCTTTAGTTGCGCCTTGCCCTCCATGAGATACGTCCATGAGTTTTGAACAAGGGGTATGCAAGAGCCAAGTCCAGAAGCCCGTTGCGAGAACGGGATAGGATCAGTATGCCGGAGACTTGCCCGAGTGCCCAATTCAGGTTTTGTCCTTCCTTTAAACGAGAATGTCCGGAGCACCTTTTGAGTGACCATCTTGGATGACTTCACGAGTGGTTCGGTTTCGATCTTCCCTTCTAATCACTGGGAGCAGCGCCCAGTCGTGGCACGCCAGCGATCGGGCCGCCGTCCAGGTGGGCTGGGGTTTGGGGGATTCGAGCGAAAAAACACAGAAGGTGGACTTGGGATGTCCCACTTCACCAGGGTGAAAGTAGATCACAATTCCTTTTCATGGCAGAAATGGAATTGTGCCATCCGCTTGTGCCCAGCAAGTGGAAGTCTGAGTCTTTAGACTCTTTGACACAAGGAATGATGTTTTCCGCAAGGGGCCGAAATTGGACTTTCCTGTTGGTAGGAGTGTACCGGTTGCATGTTGCACAAGGGGCCTCAATGCGGTGAACGTAGACATTTGTACGAACACACACACACACACACACTGTATACCTGCATTGGCACATGTTTTATGACTCTGTAAATTAGTTCATAGGTATGCACTAGTTCAAGGGTGACCCAGCTTTGCAAGACATTGAGCGGTGGTTGACTCAATGTTCTTTGCTCCCACGAGGGGAACGGTTACAGTATGGACACAAGATCTCAGGGCATGGGGAGAACCCACTGACACGTGCCAGCTCTTTGAAGACGGCAGGTGCGTACTGTTTGTGCCATCTACATGCCCCAAGTGCAACATGGAATAAGGGAAACGCACTCCGATAGGCACGATTGGGGGAACAACAATTGCCAAGACGTTTGGGGTCCCGCATTTGGTTATTTGCATTGTGGATCGCTATTGGGACGAGTGGCAGTGGGAAGCTAACCTCCATACTGGAGGGAGGCCGCCCGGGATCTGAGGTAGCAAGTCGCCGCCGCGGAATGCACAGGCCGGGCGGAGCCTGAGTTCCAGAAAAGGAAATGCTGGGTTTAGGGTTTAGAAAGTCCTACGATTGGGATAAACCACCTGCCATTGGGTGCAGGATTTTGTCCATCCAGATTGTCCAGGTCTTGCAGGAAATGTACAGATACTTGATGCGTCGTGTTCTTCTGTCATGGACAACCGGAATGTGCTGCCTGAAATTGACCGCTGAAGCAGGGCGAACTGGTCAATTGTACGCGATTGGGCAGGTAGCAAACGCGGAAACTGGGTTTGGTTTGGCCACCACAAGGCTCAGTCATTAGCGCTTGCAAAACAGGATGTGTTTGTTAAACCCTTGCATGGAAGGTGTTTTTACACTCGTGTTCGTGTGTGCTGCTTCTACCATGATGACTATATAAGAAGTTGCGCGTGCACATGGTGTGCTTTATGCTCGTTGCAGAGGTTTGTCATCCGCGCACTTCCAGCCATTCTTGTGTTCTGTGCGGCATGTGTCTGAGTTGTTTCCATCTCGGTTTCCGTTTGACCCCAATGTTCCTGAGGTGTATTCTTTAAGAGTCAGCCAAACAACAATACCAGGTTTTCCTCGGCAGGTGTGGCTCTTAACATCCTAAAATGCTTTGGTTTCCCAACGAGGGTTCATGTCCATTGGAAGTTGCGGTATTCGACTCGAAAGTCTGGCTGCGGCCCAAAAGTCCGAGGTGTTTGTGAAATCAATGCGGCAATGCTTTTAGGCATAGCTGCATCATTTGGGGCAAGGGCCGTGAGCAACATGTATTCCAAAGTTTATGCCATGTGTGATAAAGAGGGGGCCTAATTAGCTTCAAATGCTTTTTGGGTCGGTGAATACGTTGCCATTTGAGTCTATCCCCCAAGAGACGATGTTTGGCCGAGATGTTGAATGTTTATGTTCCCGTAGCAGAGGTTTGCATTGCTGGTGACAACATACCTGCCCACAACCAAAGAAACAAAATCTGCGCATGAGACGAGCCGTGTTGCAGGGACTTATCCGGGTGATTTCCTCTCCGAGTGGCTCTCAAAGGTCTTCATGTCAGGGCTTTGGCCAAGAACGAGGCGCAAAAGTTTCCTACTTCGGCCGGCCCCCGCATGGTGTGAAGACAAGCCGTATCCACGTGGCCGGCGGCATATTGGCCCCTTTTTTCATTCATCCCCAGAAGCCCTAGTTTGGACATAGTGGGTTTATCTTCATTTCAAGCCCTTTAGCACTATTTTCAAGCGGGTCTCTATCACAAAAAGGGGGCCTCCAAATGGTGGTGTTGCTTGGGATTCCCTCTAAACCAATATTCTGCAAATGTGTTTATAACAGAAAAACCAAAAACAACTGTAATAGTCGTGTTTAAACCAGCCTGGAAACGGGTACCTCAAGACAGCACACCAGGTGCCCAGAAGGCCTTCCGGCGCCGGGAGCTGAGGGACCGGCCATGGGTGACTGGCCAAATGGCTGCGTTGCAGCCATGTGGGTGGTAATTGAAGGGATTTGGGGTCAGAGACCCCATTCAAATATATATGAGCCCTCATATATATATATATATACACATACATTATATAATTATATACATATACATACGTATGTATACATATATATATATATGTCATTTTGTTTGTGCAGCACGAAAGAAAGCAGGCGTGCCTTGAAATGAGATGTCGGCCGCTGAACTAGTCACTAAGCATCGCTTTTCGGTTTGTCAAGATTCCAAAACAGCTTGTTTAGTGTTCTTTCTTTTTCCCGTTTTTCAACATGAGGGCATACCCAGTTCCGGTGGTTTCAGGGCTTGAGTCTAAGGCTCAATTGCTCCCACCTTCAGAAGGTACCCGCTTTTCTTGTGGAAAGGCGCCTGCTGGCTCAGTGGCTCAGGGCTCAATGTGTCCAAGCCCTACTCAACAGCAAGCAAGTACTGTCTACGATGATAAGCTATGCCACCTCATCAACACCAGAGGCCGTGTGAAATGCATCTTTTTTTGCACATCATGATGCATCCCCTTGTTTGTGAACAGTATAACTCTTAGGATATGGGAGCAACACATCAATTCGGGGATTCCGCGATCAACTGTAGCCATGTTGAGTATTCCTATGTCATTTAAGCCACGGTGTGTTGGCTTTGCTTCTCCTGTGGTACGTCAGATCCTGTGTGTACCCCTTTCTTAATGCAGGACATTCTACAAATTTCCTGAACGTTGTGACTCCTCCGACACATTGAAAGCAATCATGGAGTTCTTGGAACAAGGTCCTTTTTTTCTCTGTCATCCAAGTCCAACCACAAAATCAGGGCATTTCTTGCAGAATATTTCAGGATTTCCAACCTTCTTTTTCAACTTACAACATGGGTGAGCCTTTGTTTGAGGGTGCCCCTTATGAAGGCCTTCTAAGGGTTGGTCACAATCCCTACCCAAGCTTCCCCATGTCCGAAGCCACAGGTTCAACGATTAAAGCCAAAGCTTGGTGGTTCCCAGCCATCTCCTTAGCTTTTCAGCCTTTGAGTGTTTAGTGGTTGGATTTCCATGTAACCCACTAAAACGTTAGTCACTTTTAGCGGGGGATCTGAAAACGGGCAGCCCAGAATCATGGTATGTTTAACTACCCCCTAGCCAACTACACCCCCCCCGGAAGTTAATTTGACTGGGGCTAAAACAAGCCAAACTCGGACCTTGCCCATTTCGGCGGAGCCATCGCCGTTGCCTCGGCGTTGGCTGGCGCGTGTCGAGCCGGGGCCCAGGGTCCGCTGTCCAGCCGCGGCACCCCGGGGAGAAAGGCGCTGGGGGCTCACGGGGGCGGTGATCCCTGGTGAGACAAATATACCCAGGTAGATGTTAAAGTATACAGTATCATTGATAAGTATACAGAAAAAAAGAAGAAGACAACAATGAAAAAAAACAACTATAATATTATTACATGTCGATACATATTTATACACACATTCACGCGTACATATGTTTCTTTTTCAGCGAGACACACTAACCAGGATACTCGAATTTTGAAGTTTGTCCAATCACTTTCTAATTGTGAAGGTCTCCCAAATATTGATGTATGTTTCCTGAACATGCCAAAGTACCCAACACTTAATTTCGAATATGTCAATCTTTAACCAATACTAAATAGTGCTTGTCTAGCGATGCTACCCCGGACCTCAACTTCTGTCACGCTGGGGGCTTTTTTAGAACCGATACTCAACTTACAAAAGTCCAAAGGAAGAAGTCACTGATTTCTGCTGTTTGTCCTTTCTTGGACATTGCGATTTGGAGCTGTTTTTGGCCCCCAAAAGGTGGGGGGGAGCAGCGAAGAGGACCGATATCGAGGGACAGAGAAGGACCGAACCGGAACTTGAGCCCCGTAGTATTAAGGCAGATTCGTCCCTCTGGATTTCTTCAATGGGGACCTTCGATATGAAGGGAAACTGATCATATAGCAGGAGTGCTGGATTGATAGTGCCAAAAAAGAGCAGCTTGGCTTTGGAGGTGTGTCAATTGGAGGAGTTCCTAAAGCAGTCTTTCGCGTTGCTGTTGCCACCCGCTTGTGAGGACAGTGACAACATAAGGGGGGTTGAAGCAAACAAGTGGTCAATCAGGGGGTGCGTTCTCATCAAGGTTATTTCTTTTATATTTCTTTGATTCATTGATAATCCTGATGAATCAACACCAGCTTGCTGGCACTCGGCCGAGCACCCCGCGCGACGGTAAACTTGTGCTTCGTAGGAAGTCATACGCAGCCTGCGAGAAATTCCTTCCCAGTCAGGCGAAACCCTTTTGTGAAGGAAAGCTGTCCAGGAGCGTGCGCATGTTTCTCCTGCTCAAGTCTCAAAGCTTGTTTGCAGAGGCAAACCAGGATCGTGTATCCACTAGTGACGACCGGTAGAATTGGCTTGTGTAGGTTGAGAGGTGGGATCTTTTCGGCGTTGAGCTACCCAAGAATAAGCCTCACTCGGCTTTTTCCTATATTAAAGATCCACCCCCTTTTCTGGCATGTATTGCTCTGAAATCTACACCCACACACGCCCACGGACTAATACAGGCGCGCACGTGTACACTCACACAGGTCGCACACACAAGCGAGAGCCAAGGCGGTCAATGGCATGTGTCATTCTGAAAGGGAAGGTTATGTTGAGTTGCACAATCCTCAATGTCTTCAGTTTTATCCGTCATTTTTCAAGTAAGACACAATAGGGCTCTCGAGTCACAACCGCCAATGGAGCTGAGTTGCTTCCACAGTGCGTGCATGCCTTGCCAGCCTAGCCTTGCAAACTTATTCATATTGCACTTGTCAGAGACACCTGACTTTGTGTTGATTTCTCCTTCGCCTGTTTTGGTGATATAAACATGACCTTGCTTGATGTGGAAACATGGGAAGCCCTGCGGCTTCTGCGAATTCGCCAGTCTGCAGTGGCTATCGCGGTCACCGGCAACTTGAACAACCTAGCCAGGAACTCTGGAAGCGTACGCGTGCCAAAGTCAAGCAGTGGATTCCCTTGCAACAGGAAACAAGACAAGACGGGTCCAGTTGGCTAGTGGTTTGTCCGAACGAAAATAAAGAGACCTCACTGCAGCCCGTTGGCGAGTGGGGTTGCGGTTTAGTTGGTCCACGTTAGTCTTTGTTCTCGCCTTACAAGGCTAGATTTTTACTGATTCCTTCCGGACCCCGAACCGGGTGACATGCACGTTCTCGAAGAAGGCCCCCATTTTGTCAAAGCGTCATTGGTTTGATTGTGCGTCATGTCCCCGTTTCCCAGAAGCGCTGTTTTGTGATGCCGGACCTAGGAAAAATCACCCTTCCGCCGGGTCCACGTTTGTTCGAGGGAGTGATTGGCAATGTGGACGCCGACAGCGGCAGTGTCATCCCCGTAGCGTAATCCGATTCGTTACAAGCTGGCTCGCTGAGTGGATACTTCATGTGGCGCAACATGGCGGCTTTGGTGGCTGGTGTTGTCCGGTAGTTTCTGTATGAAGGGGGATATGTATCTAACAATCAGCATTGTGATAGCTGCCGTGAAAAATGCTCTACCAGAGAGGCAACGAGGAACATATAGTGATGGCTCTGCCCTAAATAGTTGACTTTGCAGATGCAGATTGATTTGCTCCTGCAATACTGAGAAGGGCTCAATTTCGATACGTCCATTGTGTGTGTGTGTGAGTTTAACAGGGCTTGTATACCAGTCCGGAGTGAGGGGGGCTGAATTTCTTTGCAATGTGTGAACCTTGTCTGGATTTGGCAGGTTGTAATGTTGCGTTGCGCATCCCACCGAGCAATTCCCCGTGCTGCATCGTGTTCCTTTAGACATAGGGCCGCGAGGGCACCAGTTGGAGCAGCGAAAAAGCGGGTCTGAGCCAGTTCCTTGAGCGCGTTTCCAGTACCAGTTGTGCCAGCAGTTGGTGGTATGAACCTCAGCGACCCGGCAGAAAGGATTGAGGTTCGAGTATCCTTGGCGCAGGCCACGTATGGCTCTTTCTTGGCATCCAGTTGCGTTGTCAGACGAGTTTGTTAAGAAGCTAGTCGGGCAAATCCAGGGGGCTCAATTTCTAAGCAGCAGGAACAGTTGAAACCTACCTGGCTGGCTAATCTTAGCCCCTCAATTGCTTATCCTATGATTTCTCATCCAGTCCTGCTGTAGCAACTCTTAGCATTCCCAAGGCCAATTCTCTAGAGCAGGACAGTCGTCCACCACGCATTGAGTACGTTTCGTGTCGCAACTCGCACTGAACCGGTGTCTTACAGATAGCCTTCGAACATCATGTACTTCAACATGAATTGCGTGGACTTTAATATACCACTGTTGCACGGCCGTCTTTCTAGGAGTTAGTAGTGTTGTGGTTTCAGCGTTGTTGCGTTTCCATGTTTGGGGATCCGGCAATGAAGTATAGACTGGAGCCTCTAAGTCATCCCAACGACCCGTCAAAGGAAAAGGAAAGGGTAGGACAAAACCAGAACGGGTGAAATTGTGCCCTCTCATTTAGCCCAACTGTAGCCCTTTGCAGTTGACTTCGCCATGGTGTTGCCACCCAGGTCAGCAGCAACCACACAGAGCCAGAGGCGGAAGCAGAACCGGCTCACCGGTATGAAGGTGGCAGCCTCTCGGGGCATGGTTCGGAAAATGATAGCCCCCAGGTACACCCCGAGGTCCTGAGAGCCAACCAAGCTGGGATGCGTCCGAAAGTCTATTCAGGTTCAACAATGAAGGTGTTGCCACGGGCGCCTTTCAAAGGAAAGCGGAGAAGCCAGAACAATTTTGGTTTAGCCATGTTTGGCCATGTTTAGCCATTTTTGATCTGGTAGTTGGCCAGCCTGCATGCGCTCACTGGAAAACCCCAGGATCAGCCTAGGAAAGGCCAACTCATGTGTAGACCGCCCCATTTCAGGGTCCTCAGACAGGAGTTGTCTAACAAGCAGCATGTGTTTTTGTGGTTTTCATGAGTTGCTTAGTGGGTGCATGGTATATTGAGGGGGTTCACTGAGTTACAATCTGGCTGGCGGATGTGTTCACCTCGTTTAGGTGGAGATGAGGGTGATGAGGGACTTGTGATTGGAGCCACAGCCTCCGATGTTGTTCTTTTCTCCTTGTCTTTGTGCCTTTGAACTCAGAAGCCCAACAGCACGTTGCTGACTAAAAAGCAGAGACATGTGCTACAGAAAGTGCCTCACTCGTCCTAGGCCGATCTTTTACACCTAGATTTCCGAAGGTTGGTTCACGTTTGGGCACAGCTGCGAGGGGTCATCTCTTTGCTTCCTTGTTTGGCCACTTAAGACAGCTTTTTGGAACACCGCAAATTCCCATGATCTAGGATGCTGCGGTTTCCCAGCAGGCATTTGCCAACACTGGGTACAACACGGAGCATTTGGCACATCGGGTCCCTTGTTTTTGGGGCGTCTCAGGTGACTTGCGCTCGCAGGCTTCGACGGGGGGGGCATGGTACCCGTGGGATTCTATCCCTTGTTTTCCTGGTTTGGCGGGTCTCTCCCTTTTGTCCTGCTTTGGTTGGTAGGCTTTCTGTTTGTCCGTTTGTGGCTTCCTCCCTGAGTACCACCAACGGAGAGGTACCCTTTCCCCTTCGACTAGTCAACCCGCACATTCGGGCTGCACCCACCAGCCCCCATCCACCCAGCCCCCATCCACCCAGCCCCCCACCCCCACCCAGCCAGCCCCCAGCCAGCCCCCACCCAGCCCCCACCCAGCCCCCACCCAGCCCCCACCCAGCCCCCACCCAGCCCCCACCCAACCCCCACCCAACCCCCACCCAACCCCCACCCAGCCATTTGGGCATCAACCACAATGGGATGTTATCCAATGTTGGCCCAGACTTTGGGCTTCATTTGGGTTAGTAAGCAACACGACATGCGCATCTTGGCTCGAACTTAACCTCCGAACTTGAATGTTACCTGGCCGCAGGGAAAAGGCTACCTGGCATTAAACGACTGTGGGCTTCACTTAGGTTAGGCAACACATCGAACCGCACCTCTTGGAGAAAGCATCGAAGGGGCTAAGCACCACTGACTCCGCGATGTCAAAGCAACAGATGCGTTAAGAAATCCAAAGTAAGGACAGATACCGTCGGCCCTTGTGGCACTTGGCCATTGAACAGGGATCTTTCAAAAGTGGATGGTGGACATGAGTCCCCACCTAATCAGGCGACTCGGGGCTCCAATGCGATGCATGTTCAGCCTTGGGCTTTGCGTGCAAAGGACATCAACCAAGCAACAGCTTGTTGCGGGTCCTTATCTGACAACTTGTTGGACATGCGCTTTAGTTGTTTGTTTGGCTGCTTCGGCTTGTAGATACATCTTTCACAGCTGTCGGACAGATCAGAAGCTGAGCAAGCATGTTGCAAACACGCGAAACGCAGTTGTGTTTCCTCAACTACATTCTTCAAGCCCAACGCAACGTGGCACTTGTCTGACTCGGAGGAGGGGTTGGCTGTCATACAGCCCTTTCTTGTGTTGTAAGTGCCCCCCTACCGGTGAATTGAATACCCACGGAGACTTACAGCATTTGGCTCCCA